TTTGACTGCATCGGCAAACGAACCATAAAAATGATTAAATTATTGAAAGAATACTGAGAATTGCAAATCAAAGCTGAATGTCGTGAGAAACTATCCACAAACGTGAAATCGCATATCTAAATTCAATCTGATGGTCCATAGCAAGGAAGAGCAACGGAATTACATATAAGCATCATTTTGATCAATCATAACGTCGTCAAATTCAACTCTGAGAAAACATAAAATAAAAAAAACGATTAAATAATCAAGAAATAAGACAAAAATGTATCACAAAAATATAAAAAAAACGTGTTACAAAGATATAATTATTTTTATTAAAAAACTATTAAAGAAAGAAAAAAAATGAGAATTGACGATCAACTACTAGAATCAAAATTAGTGTCTTCACCATCTAAATTAAAAAAAATTGATCTAATCTATAGAAAACATCACAAACTCTAAAGAGAGAGAGAGAGAGGCTAGGGTAAAAATAAACCTATGACGCATTCCATCTCTAATATATATAAATAATTGAAATCTAATATCAATCAGAATTAAAATAATATCCTTTTTAACATTGAATATTAAAATCAAAATCAAACTCTTTAAAATTTAAGTCTCTTTTATATAATTTACTTTATTAATATGAAAATAAATATTTAAATTATATTATTTTTTATTTAAGTGTCTACATTATTTTTTATCAATTCAAATGTCTAACGTTATAAGTATTATTATTTTAATTACTTTAGCCATAATGAATATTAAAAAGAGAAAATAACCTCAGTGACCAAAAATGTCTTATAATATACGATTTTAACAAACTTTTTTTGGATTTGTCAAAATGACCAACTAATCGCAATGCGATCGATAATTCGCAACGCGATTTCCGGTATCGCAAATCAGTTTCCAGATTCGCAACGCGAACTTCGACTATCGCATTGCGATTTACATATTTGCATTGCGATAGTCCAAGTTCGCATTGCGATTTATTCCAAGTTCGTTGCGATAGTCGAAGTTCGCGTTGCGATTTATTCCAAATTCGTTGCGATAGTCGAAGTTCGCGTTGCGATCTATTCCAAATTCGTTGCGATAGTCCAAAATCGCAACGACGGAATTGCATTTGTTTCTTAAGAATTTTCTCTAAAAAGATAGTATTCGCGCGGATGTGTCGAAGACACGTATTACCACGACCACGACCACGACACGACACGACACGACACGACCCGAGACGAGACGAGACGAGACGAGACGGACGGCGGCGCGCGAGAGTCCCCCTTGTTCTCTATCACTCAACAAGGAAGTGGGAAAGCCAAGCCTTAAATACCATTCCTAATAGTGTTCCCAATACTATGTGGGATTGAGCATTACTAACACTTGTTCCCAATACTATGTGGGATTGAGCCTTAAATAGTGATATTATTTTTGAATGTTTTGCTTAAAATTGCAATAATCGCGATTGATTGTAGATTGACTTTTAATTATGACATATTTAATCGTATAATACTAATGCAATTGGTTTCTGATTTAGTTGTTTTAAGGTGTATGATTGTTAATTGTTTCCTGAATAATCACATTGTATTGGAAACAAGTGTTGGTAATGCTCAATCCCACATAGTATTGGAAACACTATTGGAAATGGTATTTAAGGCTTGGTTTTCCCACTTCCTTGTTGAGTGATAGAGAACAAGGAAGACTCTCGCGCGCTGCCGCCGCCGCCCTCTCGTCCCGTGGCTGTGGCCGTGGTTGTGGTCGTGGTAATACGTGTCTTCGACACGTCCGCTCGAATACTATCTTTTTAGAGAAAATTCTTAAGAAACAAATGCAGTCGTTGCGAATTTGGAATAAATCGCAACGAACTTGGACTATCGCATTGCGATTTACATATTCGCATTGCGATAGTCGAAGTTCGCATTGCGATAGTCAACTACCGCATTGCGATTTACATATTCGCATTGCGATAGTCTAAGTTCGCATTGCGATAGTCCACTATCGCATTGCGATTTACATATTCGCATTGCGATAGTCCAAGTTCGCATTGCGATAGTCGAAGTTCGCGTTGCGAATCTGGAAACTGATTTGCGATACCGGAGATCGCGTTGCGAATTATCGATCGCATTACGATTTAGTTGGTCATTTTGACAAATCTAAAAAAAATTGGTTAAAATCGTATATTATAAGGTATTTTTTATCAATGAAATTATTTTTTCTATTAAAAAAACTCATTAAATGATATATGTCATATTCTTAAATATTTTATTTTAGAAAAAACTTAAAAATATATCATTAAATTAAAAAAATATTTTTTTAAAGAATCTCCCCGGCCCCACTTCCCTTTCCTTTTCCTCTCCCTCTCATCTCCCCAGCCCCACTCCCGCTGCCCCATCCTCCTCTAGCCTCCTCTCTCCCGTCCCCCTCCCCTTACCCCCTCTCCCTCTGGGGGGCCCTCCAACCCCCCTTTGTCCCCCTTCCCCAAGCAATGGCCGGCATAGGTATAGGATTATAATAAAAGTTTTTAAAGTTTGAGATTTTTTTAAGATTTCCGAAAATTAAGTTTTTTTTAAGAAAATATATTTTTAAGATTTTTATTTCAACTAAAAAAATTTAAATTATCAAAACATGACATGTGTCACTTAACGAAAATTTTTAACGGTCGTAACGTCTGATGCACTTAAAATGATAACATTTGTAACGTAAAAAAAAAGATTATATTCTGAACACTTATTTTTATATTAAGGCTATATATAGAGAAAATAACTTCAGTGACCAAAAATACCTTATAATATACGATTTTATTCAATTGTTTTTGGATTTGCCAAAATGACCAACTAAATCGCAATGCGATCGATAATTCGCAACGCGATTTTAACTATTGCATTGCGATTTTCCAAATTCGCAATGCGATAGTCCAAAATCCCATTGCGATAGCACTGTTCACCGTTGCGATAGCACTGTTCACCGTTGCGATAGTACTGTTCACCGTTGCGGTAGCACTGTTCACCATTGCGATAGTGATCAAAATAAGAAGAAAACTAATCAATAATGATCTTGAAGGTAGTTTACCTGAAAATAAATATAGTTGAAGGATCAAATCGTGAATGAAGCTGCTTGTTATCTATGAGCATTGTTTATCATTCTATCTTAAAGATTTTTAATTATTGAGTAATGTTTTGTTTGTGATGATTATGATGATAGTGAGCATTGTTTATAATGAAGCTGAAAACTGTACAGGGAGACCAACACATGGTTTGTCATATGAATTTTTCATGGACCAATTTGCTGTTGGGTGTGAAGCTAAAACATCCAATGGTTTAGTATTTGCCTGGTCTTGATTGATGAGCTATCACTGTCTCTCTGAAATATTGCATCAGTTTTGGTTCTAAAGATGTTTCACTGACATACTGGAAAAACATTTACTGTATAAAAAAAAAGATTAAATGAGCCTTAAATACATCAGCATCTGTTAATTAAGAACTAGACCTATTAAAATAATATTAGAAAAAGAAAATGCACTTGGATCCAGATATTGTGAACAGTACTATCGCAACAAAAAAATTCATTCTTAAACAAAATTAAACTTAAATAAATCCATACACCATTAAAGAGAATTCAAACAAAAAAAATCCCAAATTTAAAGTTTTTTTGCATCCTTCTGGACAGAAAACAACAGTAATATCGCAAATTCGCAATGTGAACAGTGCTATCGCAACGGTGAACAGTGCTATCGTAACGGTGAACAGTGCTATCGCAATGCGATTTTGGACTATCGCATTACGAATTCGAAAAATCGCAACGCGAATTTGAAAAATCACAATGCGATAGTCAGAATCGCGTTGCGAATCTAGAAACTGATTTGCGATATCGAAGATCGCGTTGCGAATTATCGATCGCATTACGATTTAGTTGGTCATTTTGACAAATCAAAAAAAAGTTGGTTAAAATCGAATATTATAAGACATTTTTAGTCAATGAAGTTATTTTCTCCTATATATAATAAAGAAAGCTGAATCCTAGGTATTATGTTTGAATTTGAAAAATAAGCAAGCCAGGAAAAGAGATGATAAGCTACGTTTTACTTTTAGCCTAACAGCTAGTGGTCCTGAATAGCCAGCCATTGGGTTGGCTAACTTCACCAAGCTGGTGTACAGGTTTTACTCAAGACCAATGCCACTGCCACTTGTCCAAATTTAATCAAACAGATTTACGCTTATAGAAACAACGTTAAATGCACACAACGAATGCCTCCATAGGATTCTGCACAAATGTCTAAACCCACATGATAAACCAACCACTTCTCTTCCAATTAAGGTATAGATCCAACGCCAGATACTGCCAGCAAAGGACCATTTCAACCACAACTGAAACATCAAAACCTCTATGCCATTCACAAACAACAACCCAACCCTCAAAACTTCACCAGCAATGCAACTTCACAGTTATCTTACAAGTTAAAGTCGACCAATAATGACAACATATTCAAATATCAAAATTGGACCACACCAACAAAGCACAAACCATGAGAGGGGCCAGGTTCCACAATTTCATTTTCTAATACCATATGCAAATGGTTGGCCAAATTGTCAAGGGTGAAGTCAACATATCGAAACCAAGGTTTTAACCAACCATAGCAACCTCATTACACTTTATTTTCCTAACAGAATGGCCAATCTAGACCTACAGCCACAGTTGATGTCAGAGTTCCATAATCACTATTGCACCTAAGACTAGATGAAAGTAGTGAATCCATATACGATCCAACACCTAAAAACCACAGGCCAAGTCACAGAGAAGCCACAAATTTCATAATTTATACCAATACTCATCGTGCTATAACTGCTGAAAATAATTTAACAAATATTGAACAGTAAAAGTCCATATAGATCAAGATAGACTAATCAAGGCTTCACCTAGTACCATGAAGATTTTAAGCATAAAGAAACAATGAAGGAAAGAATGTCATGGAGTAGGATATAAGAAAGAAAATAGATTACCTCATTTGCATAACAACTAAATTACAAAAATTTTAACAGAAAGCTTCTGGTGAAAACAATATGACAACAAGCATAATCCCTTAATTTTATGTGCACGGGTGTAAAAAAGAAACAAAACTGGATCAAATACATGGTAGTGAAGCCTACGTAATCATAGAGGACACATACCTACTCCAAAAAACCAATTAAGACGGAATTCTCTAAAACAACAAATGCCTTTAGAAGTATAAGCTGTACGTGAAATCTCGTGTGGGATTTCCAGGGAACACTGATGATAACAATAACTCCAATATGTTTCTGGCTATTTCAAAGTCCCTCTTCCTTTACGCTCTTTAAGGTCAGTGGGGATAATAAATACAGAATCTACACAAAGCCCTCCTTTGGAATGTGTGCAATCTATCTGCTTCACGGAAAATCGGACTTCAGTTGTTGGTTCTGAGGCGCTGACGATAAATTCCCCTACCTTGTAGTCTATCCAACATCCACGCTTATGGTTTCCATTTTCATAATCTTGTTCGGTATCGTCCAAATAGTGCTCACATGATGCTAGCTGACCATCAGAAGCAGAGAACTCAAATTTCACAGGCTTTATATCCCACCCATGCGTGTGCTCGAAACTAGACACCCGTCTTCCCAACCTTTTGGAAAATCTTCCAAGGTGAAGCCTGAATGAGAGAGTATACATATCAGCTGGAAGAGGAAACTTTACTACTCCATCTACTTCAAACCACCATATTTGCTGCAAATACGCTACAATATGGAATCTGGAAGAACAGCAAAATAGAGAATATTTATTAAAAATTATTAAGAAAGAAAGCTGGAGAGGAAAAAGTGGAAAGAAAATGTTAGCCATTGGCCAATGCAAATGAAAAATAATTTGTTCAATGGCATAAAATTTTGAAGATCTCTGAAGCACTGGAAAATTTCCAGGTTTACACTCTTCATAGAAAAAGATAAAAGATCAATAAAAATTTCACAATTAAGCACTACAAAGTTTTCATATGTAGAACAGAATCAATAATATCCTTTCAAAATATTTTGTTCAACTGATGAAACGCCATGAAGAAAGACTAAACTCAGTATATACGATAGAGATTAATGGAAAGTAGTCACTGGATGGGAACTTATTCTCTTGACACACTGTACAGTGATCATAGGAAGGAATAAAGATCAGGATTAAGGACAATGTTAAAGCATCATACTACAAATATATACCTTTAGTACGTTGGAAACTGTATCACCCTAAATACATTGAACACAGCAATCACTCAAACTGAATGCAGTGCATATACTTTTGACATAAAGATGAGTATTAAAATCAGATCAATCTCCACGAGAAAACAAAAAAATACATTCATTGACAGGACGAGATTTACTACCCCTTGATCATTCTGATCAACACAAACCAAGAACTCGGGACCATATAATGTCTAAATAAAGGAGATGAGATTTTATGGAAAGTGAAGGGCTACCTCTGAGTCGTATTACCTAGGCAGTGTAATTATATAAACCAAAACGTTAAAAAACGGCTCTACGTAGTATAAAACATCACTAGGAGGAAAGAAACTTCATATATAACCATCTAAAGGCAAGCACAAACATTTGTAGACAAGATAAATTTTCAAAAGGTAAGCAAGAGAAGAAGAGATTCATTTCTCACAACCCCTAAAAAATATAATAAATGATGAAAGGAAGAAAGTAATGTACAGAAGTACATACATAGATGGTGAAATGGTTAATTATTTGTTTCACTGTATAGCAACAGGCAAATGCAAATTAACTCTTAGTGCACTAATAGGAAAATTACTTCCAGCACAGAAGCATCCTTATGAGCAGCATACAGAGGGAGATAGAAATTGAAAGTTTAACATATTAGAATCTTATCTTTCCTTATATACCTCTTCCAAAATCCAACCTTAAAATATCGCTTCAGATTATTAATGTGGCAATGAGGACAAACATTATCTCTAAACAAGATTAAATAAAAGATCTCATCATCATCTCAACATTAACGACGAACAAACAACCATGAAAACTTTCAAAGCTTTCACTCTATCTACATGATACCATTTGAATGAAAAAAAACTTCAACAGACAACGAAAGCATAGAATGCCGCCTTTAAGTAGCACTCAAATGCATTTCCTTCCACCAAAAGTTAAATGAGACACACAATTAATAACAATTAATAATACAATTCACCGGATATCACATTTCAATAAACATGTAGCTTAACCATCTATATGCTCCATGAAAAAGTAAAATCATCATAATTACTTCCATTTTGTGTTTTTTCAAGTAATCAATACAGCATTCTAACAAGCTGGTTAAAAATCACACTAGAAACATTTCAAGATGCAAGTATGTCAATCCCATATAAAGTCAATCCAATATAAAGTAAATGTCAATATCAATAAATTCTACTAGTGACTTCAGTATTGAAGCATAATGATATAAATGTCTAACCTAGATTCTTCTGTAGAAACCCAGTTCCAATATCTCCGATCATCAATTCCGGTTATCGCCATCCCTTTTGCAGATATTGCCATGCATACCCTCCCAGTCACTCTGTCCAGCCATACTTCCTACATAACCCATTTCGACGATCATTAATCTTCACTTAAAGTATGTCTAGTCATTACTAAACTCGAAATAAAGCACTAAAGAAGAAAGAAAAAAGACAAAAAAAAGAAAGCATTAAAAGGAAAACAGATGCAAGACCCTCTTCCTTAACGCTCCCAAGAAAACCCCATTTGCATAAACAAAAGTTGTTAAACTTGTTTTCTTCAAAAAGTTACACACCTATTCTTCCCAAAATATTAAGATATAGAAGTATTAAACTTACTCAGAACACAAACAATTTTGAAAAGGAAAAAAATCTAAAAAGTAATAAAAACAATCACAAACCCCCTCATGCTCAATCCTTCCAAAACAAATACAGAAGTAAAAACAACCAAATGAACCCAAAACTCAAAGAGCCAGAACGAATATTTAAAGCAATAATCAAATAAACCAAAAAGGAAGGAACGGCTTTAATCAAAACCCACCTTATTTCCATCATCAAAAGGAATGGGGCGAGAGAGAAGGGCAAAAATATATTTTTTGGACAAATTCTGGGACCTTTGGGGTGGCACTAAATCCAGCAGATCATGATAATTGGTGGGTAATTTCATTTCCCAAACGGAATCCGAAGACGCAGCCCCTCTAAAAGCTCGATTCAGCCTGGCGAGATTACAAATCTCCGGGGGAGTCAAGTAAGTAAAGACGCAGGCCACGCAGCTCTCGGGTATATCCCCTAAACCCGGACCCAAGGCCGTCCCATTTGTTCCTTCCGTTAAGTTGGATATAGACGCACCCATCGAACCCTTTTCTCTTCCCTCTCTTCTTCTTCTTCTTCTATATTTGCTTTTGTTTCTATACATATAAAAATTCAATTGGAGTTAAATAAGTTGTTGGGAAGAGTAAAGGTGGAAGAAAGGGGGGCTGCTGATGTTGGAAATTTTCTGGACATTTGGGATTTACACTCTTTATTTCTCTAACACCATTACCCCGCACCCCGGAAAATATATTTTTAGTGATGACAGGAAAGTCTAATTTTTTTAATTAATTTAGAATAGGTACAACACAATATTTTTATTTTGTTAAAATTAATTTTATTGTATTTTAATAATAAATTTTAATTATAATTTATTATTCAAAAATTTATTATTAATAAAAATATGAAAAATAATTTTTTTAATAAACTGATTTTTAAATATATGTTTATAAATTTTAATTATATAAAATAATTATGATCAATTTAACAATTTGATCATAAAATATCGATTAATAAGACAAAATAAGTATTTAATTACTTTAATCTTTAAAATTTCAATTTAATTACGGAAGTAAACAATTGACAGGCTCATTAATTATGATTTGATATTACTGTTTTGTTTTATTTTTGTTTATTTAAAAATTTAATGTTATTTGATATTTAGATTATTGATCGACTAATTATTAATGTTAAGTTAACCTCAATTATTTTATATTTTTAACATTAATGTTAGTCATTTTGGGCTCTTATGTGAAAAATAAATTTAGTAAATATTAAATTAGTTTAATTTAATCTAATTAATAATATTATTAATATAATATATAGGACATGAAGATATAAAACTATAAAGAATATGTACGAATCAAATAATCTCAATGGTTAAATGATTTATTGTTATCTTTTGAGGTATTGGATTCGAGCATTTCGTATGCAGGAATATAAACGTTCATTATTAAATAATTTATAATTTTTGAACATATATTATCTTATAATCAGACTTATTTATAAAAAAATAATACACAATTACAATATTACCCCTAATTGCTTTCACAAATGGTCACTTTGAATCATATTCTTTTTTTTAAGTAATTTACATCTCATCGTTTTAATTTTTGATCAAAATATACCTGGTTAAATGGAAATCGTTAGTTAACTAACAATCAATTCATATTACAAACATTAATTTTTCACATGTGTCTAATGATGAGATGACATATATCATATCATCACTTTAAAATAACGTGTCACTTGTCACATTATCAATTGAACATATGTAAAAAATATATCAATAATATGGGTTAATTATCAATTAACTATCTATTTTCATCTATTAAAATTTATTTTAATGAAATATTTAAATATGAGAGTACATAACACTTTAAAAAAACAAAACGAATATTTATACAAAACGTGAGGAAATATTTTTTTTATCATTATGTTAACAAAATATTATAAAGGACATAGATAGGGGTGAGCCCCAAGTATTTGGGGATTCTCACGTGCGGTAGTCTAATATATGATTAAATAAATATGCTACTAGAAATTTTTTTTTTAATATTTATGGTAAAACACTACTTAAAACACTATAATTTTTTACCGGAAATGTTATTATTAGGCGCTTTATCGGGTTTGTTAACATATTTGATAAAGCATTACCTAAAACATTATTTTTTAACCGGAAATATTAATATTAGGTATTTTATCATAAATGTTAAAAAATATTAATGTTTTAGGTAAAAAAATAATATTTTAACTAAAATTTTTTATCATAAATTTTAAAAATAATAATATTTCTAATAATATTTTTCTTTAATCATATATTAAGACGGTTGTAGGACAAAACTTCCTCAAGTATTTGCATAAACCGATACAACAAATATGGGCCTCTATTGATTAATCTATGTCGTCGTTGGCACCATTGCTAATATATAAATTGACGCCAATAATTTTAATTCCAAAACCAACCCTCTTGAATTAAATTAGGCAATAATTTTGTGATTACAACATCAACAATTTAGTTATATTAAAAAATAATGATATAAGAAAACTTAAAAACCAATCACCTTTCAATTTAATAAATTTGGTTAAATATCAACGAGTGTTAGTTGAAATGGTAAGTAACTTAATATCGTTTAAACAAAGTCTCGGGTTCGAGTCATTATGTATGCAGAAAATCCTTCTAGGAGACTCACCCACCAAAATTAGGTGTGTGACGCGAGTCGGTCCGGATTAATAAAGGCAAAGCCTTTGAAACCGAGAGAAAAAAAATTGTTTAAATTATTTCACAAACTTTTCCTTTCCTTCAAATCAGCCTTCAGATTTACTAAGCTTAGTCATTAACCCTTAATTTGCTTCAAATTTCTATTGGTCAAACTTCCTGTTTGTCCTTCAACAGATGAAAAATTAAGTTTGTTTTGATGCCGATCGTCAAAGTTGAATATTTGTAATTAAAGAAAATTATTTTGTGGACTAGAGTCAACTTTCTTTTATGTTTTTAATTTATTTAAAATTAATTTTTAAGTACTCATTCATCTTATATAAAGAAAAACTTAAATATTTATTCTTTAAAAAACAACATAAAAAATAAAGTGAATGATTTTTATTTAAGGGCCGTTTAGCATGTTAATCAAACCCTAATCAGTGTTGACCCTAAAAATCCGACATGCTTCGTTTTTCTATGCCCAACACCAAACAGGAGTAAAAGCTTTGAAGCCATCGGGTTTCTGTTGTCGTGCAATTTGGGTCAGTTTAAAATTCAACTTGTTAATCTTAGATTAAAAAGGGATAGCAATCGATTATAACAAAAATATATATAATTTCATGTGGTTTTTTAAATTGAATACGATAATATTTTAAATTAAAATTTTAACTTGTTTTAAGTTTCCCTTCTTCTTCTTTTTTTGTGGATTTTAATTTCTATTTTTTTCATTTTTGTTATTGATAATGACATCAGTTTTGATGCTAGTCGTCGACCGTCAGTATTTATTATTTTTCTTTTCTTTCATTATAGTGTATCTTTACTATTTTATTGTTTTTAAATTTTTAATAAATTTACCTTTGTGGCACGTTTTTTCTTGTTTTTATGGTACGTTTTCAATCGTTTGATCGTTGTTTTTATTTTTTTATTTTTTTAAGGGTTAAATTTGACATCATCACGACTGATCAATACTTATTTATTATCATGTAGATTTTCTTTACTTTAGACCATCAAATTAAATTTGAGTATGCAATTTAAAAAATTAATCGATCTGAATTAAGTTTCAATAATTGATCGGTTAATCAAATTTTATAAAAGTATTTTGTAACTTTTTATTATCGAAACGAGCAAGGTAAGCTTATTAACTTATTATACAAGTAAAACTAAAACTAAATAGCAGAAAAAGATTACATGAATCACGTTGATTGATACGACATTTACATTATTATTATTATTATTATTATTATTTTGGGTCATTGATATCATTTTCATCCGCATGTGTTTGTCTTGGCTTCGGAAGGAAATTCCATGGGTGATTCTGCTATATGGAAATTAATTTAATGTAATTTTTAACTTTTTTTTTTTATAAAAACCGTTAATTCTATTAAAAACAACAAATATTCAAATAAACTTAAACAAAAAATTAAACATGAATCATACAATAAAAATATTAAAAAATTTAATCAAATATATTCAATCAAAAGATAGATACGACAGATCTGACCGTATCGACAAACGAATCACATAAAGGGATCAAGTTATTGAGGGACTCAACAAAGAAACATCTTATAGTGTGAGTAATTATTTTATAATTCTTAATAGCTAAAGTACTCGTTAAAACAAAACATTATAGGTGGAGACCATTTTTGTACTTTACCCTACATTAAAATGGTATACTTTATTCAAATAAGCCCTTATACTTTCTTTTTGCTAAAATAACCCCCATCATTTTACTTTTTATTCATTCAATAATCTATATTTCGTATTATTTTTCTTTACAAAATTGTTATAAAATACTTTCCATACTAATATATGTTTTCAACTTTTTCTATTTCACGGATCCAAAGTTTTAACACTACAGCAAAATTAGTCTTCAACGGTATTTTTAGCGGCGTTTTAAGAGTAAACGATATTAATTTTAAACGTATAACGGCGTTTACAATCCAAACGCCATAAAATAGAGATGAATTGAGAGGGAAAATATGGGGCAGTTTCCTCCTAAAAATTTTAAATTATCTAATATTTTAGATTTTTTTGAATATTCTTTTATTACTAATATGCTTTTGTTTCCTTCAAAATTTATGTTTGTTTCTTAATATAAAATCTTATGTACGACAACCAATCTTAAATAACTCTGCAAAGAAACTACACCAAATTCATATCAAGAGGATTGACAATTGATAAAAAAATACAACAAATAAAAAAATTGGAAAATTTTGGGGTCATTGAAACAAATCACTTCATGAAAATGATACCTTCAGACTTTTTCTCTATTTTGTTATATTTTCTCCAATAAAAAATTGGAAAATTTTGGGGTCATTGAAACAAATCACTTCATGAAAAATGATACCTTCAGACCTTTTCTCTATTTTGTTATATTTTTCCACCCTATTTGATTTTGATTTTCTTATATCACACACCAAATAGGCCATTGAACATACACACCTTATATATATACAAATGTTTGGTTCAAAATTCTTTAAAGAAAATAGGTTTAAGGGTCATCTTTATTCTTGTAATAGATCTAATTTATCATTTTCGCCTCTATCGTATTTTCACATTAATTTAGCCCTCGAAGTTGTTTAATTGCATCAATCTATACCCTACCCCTAACTTAAAATCTTAAATTGATAACTCTAAACCCTAAATCATAACCGCGGAACCTCTAAATCATAAATCGTAATCCTTAACTTAAAACTTAGAATGATGCAATTGAACAACTTCAATGACTAAATTGATGTGAAAATATGATATGAACGAAAATGATAAATTAAATCTATTATTATAGTGGCAAAAGTTGCATTTTTACCTAAGAAAATAATATTTATTTATATCGCTTGTGTCATTTAATGGGTTCCATGGCAAAATGGGGGTGTGAATTGAACCCACAAAAGCTGGATTTGGCATTTTACTTGCAAATATATGATGAATTTAATGAGCATAGAAACAAAAG